AGATTCACCACGTCATTGGCGACTTTGTGAAGTGTTTCAATCGCAGTTACCAAACAAGATCGACGATGATCACCACTCCCTGCTGACGCTGCCCCGCACATTGTAAAAGTCGGGTCAAAGTTTTAGACTCGTTGCGAGTTTTATTGAATCGAACTATCGTTAGAACGCCACCAGTGTTCACATCTGAGTTCGCCCCATACTCACAAGGCCCCGAATTTAATGACGTCACTCTTCTTCTCAGAGGCATCGTCAAAGTATCTTTCACTCTCGACGTCTCGAAGTAGCACTCCAAAAACAGAAGGCACGAAAGAAGAAAAAATCAGAGCTGAGGATCAAGTGAATTTAATCAGGTATATATACCACCAAGTCTTTTAGTACTTGTAAACTTAACTCGTGTATATTTAGATGTTAAATAGACTATGTTGCCACGAGTAAAATAAGTTTAGTCTTATACTGCATGGTAAACAGCATTTCTGGCACATCGAATGGTACCGTAAGTACAGTACGTTACGAAAACACCGATGTATAACCATATACAAACATATTTGCAGGGACCAATATGTTATATTCATGAAATACGTTCGTCTTCGCCTCACACATTATCTCGCCATAGACTTTCGCTCAATATGGCAATGGGTGATCAATATTGTTTAAAAAACCCCAATATTCGAGCGAACATTCGCGTCCGAGGCCTGTTGTCAAGCAATGATGGTTAGTGCGGACGCAGCACGGAAACGGGGACTTTTGGATTGAATTCCCCGTGCCCGTGCGTCCTGTTCGTATTCAGCAGTATCTCACACATGCTTGGACAGATCAAAATCAAACTTCACAAGTACATTAATAAAGATGTTTTTCTTAAAATAATGAAACATGATCTTGCCCTTTCCAAAATTTTTGAAAAATACATTATTTAATGGAAATACTTAATTATGTAAATACGCATCAATGAGAGAACCAATGTCTTTTCTATGCAATGTTTTAGTATTTTATACTTTATTTTTTTCTATTTTATCCTATTAATGTTTTACTTTTATTTAGTTAGTTTTATCATTTTAGTCTTTTGTTATTTGTTATTTTTACCATACTAAACCCCCTGAAGGTTTTGGTTGTGTAATAAAGTTATTATTATAAAAACAATGTCGGAAAAAACACGAAAACATGATAAGACAAATATGCGATTTTGACTACACGCTCTGGTGTGACATTAAAAGATTAAATATACTAATCGTTATCTGTTTACCTCTTTCACAGTCGTGCAAAACAATCGTGATCAAAACAGGATCCTAGTTTTTAAAAATCAGGACACAATCGAGCATTCTTCATGGGTCGTGACTTCGCTATAGATTACGACTATCACTGGATCCCGGCTGCCACGACACGATTTCTGACAGTAGATTCAAACTGCTACGGACTATTCTAGATTGGCACAGTCTGGGCAATTTATTTCATTTTAAAGTTTAAATTAAATACAAATATCGCGAAATGGGGTGTTAACGCGAAATCCCCTGTTAACGCGCAATCATCCCAAATTTCGCAAAACTATATTCTTCAAATTTTTTATTATTATAATTTATCTGTAAAAAAAATCACCGAGGCTGGGCCAGTCTAGGACTATTCCTTCAGTACATTTGACTAAATTCGCAGTGATGGCAACCTCCCGTCACCTTCATTGACTTTGGTGATTGTTTTGTTTTCGTGTAACTTGTATTTAGTCTAGTATCCACGACAAGCTGTTGAAACTATACTATTGTTATCATCTAAAATTAAACAAACGGTTATTAAAAACAAGTTCCCCCACCTGTTTACTCAAATTGTGTGGCGACCCCCCCCCCCCAGCCAATGCGGTAGGGTTTTTCCTGCCCGCTTGCCAGCTATTTTGCACGAACAGTGTTGTTGACTGCTTTTGACAACTGTTATACACTACCAGGTAATGTGCACAGTTTAATTGTCATGTTCAGTATATATTGGTAGGGTTAATGTTAACAGATAAGCACGACATTTACACATCTTGTCTTCTCTGATCAGAATCAGTAATTACTTATACCAAGTTTCACGATGAGCAGCAAAGTACACTCGTTTACTTGTCTGCAATATACTCAATTCAATTCATCATAATTGTAATATTAACATTTAAAATGAGTGTTCAATGTATATTAGAAAAACAGTGTACACTGTGACGTCACGGTCTTCATCACTCTGAAATAATTTAATAATATATGAAGATGAATTGGACTGTTTCACAACTTCAAGAGAACTCCACGATTTTTTCAGAATTGGAGTTACACCCAGGAAATTAATACAGTAGTATTTAAATTAATTAAGCAGTCAATCACGAAATAGAGAAGAATGTCCGAACGGCGCAAATGGGAACTAGCGCTCTCTGTCAGTAAACATGGGGTAGCTAGTTAGCAGAAACGGCGTGTTTTGGCTTTGCTAACAGGTTTTCTTCAGTTTTTTTCACGCTGCTTACTCTAACATTTCACCGTACCCAACGCACGCTGAGATGACAACAGCAAGGCTACAATTAAGACTTGTCTGCAGATTTCCTTGATCTTGAACATATGGATTTGTTTTATGTTATTGCTCACAAATATTCAAATAAAACATATCTTTCCTACTAAAATGTGTCAAATAATCATGAAAATAGCGATGGTTTGAGCCATTTACAATCAGTTTCAATGGTAAAAATCGTTCGACGAGATTCCGAGAAATAATAATTATTTAATAATAATTATAATGCTTTACAGTAGAAGTCTACTCATAGTTTCTGAAAACGCTGGTTATAAATCACGTGACAATGTTCATTGGTTTATTTTGTAAAATAATGGAGGACTCATGGCACCAGGAAATGGCTTTCTTGTGTGTGTTACAGAGACATGTCACGAGAAACTTGTTCTAATATTTTTCGAAAATCGTTATTTTCAGAAAAAATCCATGGACAGGAAAACTTTACAAAAAGTGTCCCATCATTTACAGTACAGTTGTTTAGCATATTTGGTATTCCAGTAAGTATCCAGTCTCTGCCATGTGAACCTATCGTAAAAATGTTATAATTCTGACGAAATGGTCACTATCCACTAATATACAACGATCACTCGATAATTAATACACTTTATTAAAAAATTGATTAATTCTGGTTATTTGCATACAAGAGTAGGCCTCTACCTAAATTCAAACAGTTATTCTCGCTTCCCCCAATTTATCTGTGCCAGTAAAACAAAAGACGTTGGCCCGTGTTTAATCAAAAATTATGTACACTTTTAAAACAATAAAACGTGATAATATTTTTGCTTTTATTTAACAGACCGCGAACACTGAACTATCGTTAGAGCGCCGCCAGTGTTCACATCTATCCCGTTACTCATCATCTCAGAGGCCTCAGCGAGTCTTTCACTTCCGACGTATTGTAGCACTGTTTGAGATCTGTGTCTGCGAGAAAACGAAAAAAATCACAAAAGACAAAGAATTCAGTCTGAAGATCCTGTGAATTTTACCAGGTATGTAATACCATCTAGTCTTTCAGTGCATTTAGACTTAAATCGTGTCGATTCTGATGTTAAATTTATCGTTACTAGGAGAATGTTGAATTGCTACAGCATGCTTGATTCATTGTCGTAAAACCCCGGTCTCATTGCGACATCTGAGGTTACGTCAAGAAAACTTTGAAATAATCCTACATTGTAATATTCATTAGTTTTCAAATGCCCCAATCAGCGTGTCCCTATCAATTCATGTAAAACTCAAGAAGACTATTAGTGACAGTCTTGTACGAATACCACCCACTGACTATATAATATGTATACACAAGTATCAAAATATATTGACCGATGTCGGGAAATACCACTAAACAAGTTCATAATCTGACTTCAAGTTTTGACCTCATTAGTAAAATGTATTGCCACCATCAAAGACGTTTCAAAACAAACAAAAACAAAGAACTTTTAATTGGTACAATCATCTGTGATTGGCTTATGTTGTGTGATTCCTGTTTTAATTAGCATCTGCGGGGAAAAGTAATCTTCTGTTAAAGTAATATTCCGTCAATATGTGGTCCTCTGTTAGGCTACACGCCATGCTGCTTTTGAACTACGCATGTGCAGTTGATATCAATTTATTTCGGTAAAACTGCGACCGTTTCCGAACTAAACCGAATGATAATTATTCACGTAACCACATTACGGGATAGTTTACCAAGTAAATAAACGAAGCATAACACAATCTCGTTCAGTGATATGATAGAGAGTGACTGGCTGCCATGTTGGTTTAATCTGTTTGTGTTACCAAGCATTTCTTGTACAAGACTTAGCAACTTTGTTACAGAAAATGATTCGAAATTCAGCCAATTGGCTATGAAACTATATACCTGTTCATATTCATATGGGCAGAGCAATTAAGTCACTTGAGTTTACAAATTCCATGTGTAAAGGAATAGAGAATTCACCAACTACTTTTTTAAGTTGAGCAGATTCAGTTCGCCTACACGTATCACATTTATGGCGATTTTGAACATCCAAATGTCCTATATGATAAACATTTTAGATAATCCTCTCTAATTGCATAGTTTTTTTTTTTTCATTTCCCCCCCCCCCAAAGTTCTTGCAGTGGCGGATCCAGCAAAATGTATTGGGAGGGCAAGCTTCGCTTAAGATATACGGAGGAAAAATCGCAGAGAAGCTATGCGTAATCCAGATGATATGAATCGTCATGCGTTTGGGGGGCATGCCCCCCCTGGATCCGCCACTGAGTTCTTGTTAATGCAGGCACTGGAGCAAAGTGAACTTTACATAGTCGTATTCATAAACATATCAGCAGTTTGACATTGTTTTGTCAAGAGAAAATTGAAAGAATCTGCTATAGCACTTGACAATAACACTTCTCTGAAAGCCAACATTTTTCAAATGTAAAGATAATGCTGTTGACATTAATGTCATAATACTTTTTTGTTCTCATTATAGATACGTATTTATATTGTCTGACATTTGAAAATATCATACCTAACCATGAATATCAGACAAGAATTTCGAGGATCGAACCAGAAAGAAGATAAACAACTATGTTTGGAAAAACCTGCAACATTCAAGAAAAGGGTAAAAAAATATGCCCAATGTAAAGAATGTGGGAAAAAAGTTGTTGAATTGGCAATTCACATGCGAGGTCATACTGGAGAAAAACCCTATCAATGCAACTATTGTGATAAGTGTTGCACACAATTAAGTAATCTCAAATCCCATATGCGGTCACATACCGGTGAGAAGCCATTCACATGTGAAATTTGCGGAGATGCGTTTAGGTGGCAGAAACAATATAAGGGACATATGGTGAAGCACACCGACCCTGACGCGTACGCATGTAAAATTTGTGGGAAGGTATTTCTCACAAGGGTAAGCCTTAACAAACATAACACGATACACAGGGATAAAACATTCAGATGTAATCAATGTGACAAAAGATTCACAACAAATGATGTGTTGAAACAACATATGCAAATACATAGTGACGTGAGACCCTTCAAATGTGACCAATGTTATAAGAGTTTTAAGAGAAATGAAAGTTTGAAAATTCATCTGAGATCACACACTGGAGAAAAACCATTTACGTGTGGTCAATGTGAAATTTCGTACTCCTCATTAAATTCTCTAAAAAAACATGTTGAAAGTGTGCATTCAGCTACAGAAGGACAATATAAATGTGAACAGTGTGGACAGACCTTTCTTCTAAAACACAAGTTAAATGCCCACATGAATACACACTCGAAGCCTTACAAGTGTGATACATGTGGGCACAGGTCTTCTAGAAAATATGATCTAAAAAAACACATGCGTACACATACAGGTGAAAAACCTTACCAATGTGATTTATGCGAGAAAAGATTTGTTCAGTCATCTTGTCTTAATGTACATTTAAAAACTCACAGTAGGTATAAAATTCACCAATATAAAGAATGTAAGAAGATGTTCAAGTCGGAAGAATATCTTCAACGACACCAAAAAATGCACACACCTGAAAATCAAAAAACACACCAATGCTTGAATTGTTGTCGGAGATTCAGACGTAAGTCCGGCTTGCTAAGCCACTTGAGAACATATACCGGCGAAAAACCATTTAAGTGTCACCAATGTGACGTCAAATTTGCCTGCAGCAAAAGTTTAAAATATCACATGAAACTCCACCCTGGAGTAAAGACATACAAATGTCAAATTTGTGAAACGCACCTACGTCGCAAAGACTATTTGAAGAAACACATGCAAATACACGGTGATGAAACACCATACAAATGTGAGGTATGTGGCAAAGGTTTCAATCATCAGATAGGTATCAAGAGACATATGCAAAAACATACTGGTGTGAAACTTCACCCGTGTAATGAATGCGATAAATCATTTTCTGAATCAGAATCTTTAAAGCGGCATATGCTTCTTCATACCGGTGAGCAGCAGCCAGTATACCAATGTGAACATTGTGAAAAATCATATGCATGGCGGAAATCTCTTGTGAATCATTTGAAAATACACAACCGAGCAACACCACGGGTGTGCAAAAAATGTGGTACAAAATTTCCAGATAGTGATAGTTTGAAGCGACACGCATGTTCGAATATACCGTCATTGTACCAATGTCGAGAATGTGGGATTTCCTTTGAAGATAAAACAAATCTAAAACGTCACATGCAAGGAAATACTAAAGAAGCGTACCAATGTGACAAGTGTGCCAGACATTTAGTAATGAGCAAGTGTGCATGGAAGAAACACGACAAAATACATGATCCTTTGAAGAAACTGCTCAACCCTCTTTTTGAAATTCATGAACGACGTTTACCCCCAAATCGTCCAAGACTTGAGAAAACCGACCTAAGAATAAAGTTACACAAACTGCCTCTACATTTCTTATCACGTAAACGGCAAGATAAAGATAGTTTACGTTGTTATATCACAAATTCAAACGGAATTGACTGCATGATGGAGAAAACAGGTTTAATGACCTTAAGTGCCAATACCGTCGAATGCTACAGAATTATATTTTGAAAACCTCCCATAAATTCATTATATTTTCCATGGAGTACTTCTTCATGGTTCAACTGCATTGTAGGTAATACTATATTTCCGACAATAGTAAATATATTTTGGGCTTTTATCTACCAATTTTCAAATTTGACTTTCGCATTCTGTTAAACAATAATTGATTTAAAATGTTGTTATAACTACTAAGTAATATGTTAGATTTGACATTTCAATATCGCTTAGTTTTTTGTCAATTTATAATCAGAATCTGCAAATTTGGCACTTTACTGCTACGATGACAGTATTTACTGTACGTTATATATTCTTTTTATTTTTTAATTGTTAATCGAAATATGTGTAATTATATGGAGGTCTTTTTTGTTATATTATCAATAATCAATCATGTTTCAATGTTTCAGTTTACAAGATTTTTTATTAAATTTGTATGTGTATTTTTATTTCTATTATACTATTAATTCAATTCCAATTTTTACCAAACAACAAATCATTGTGTTTTTTTACTACATTGTGCGAAACACACAATAGGAGTCTTTGTAGTTAGTGTATCTGTCTGTATGCATGTTTTTATGTCTGTCTGCTCTATCAATATATCAACAACCACCCATCAGATTCCAAATTAGTACATAGGTGTCCCTGAATAAGCCATATACGTTTTTTAGGGTTCAATATGTGCTTAATAATTACCCAATTTGCATAAATTGATCAATTTATATGTATATATGTTGCCTGACATGATATATGAACCGAAATATCTTGTCATTATATATTGTCATGATTTCAATGATGATTGTTATACCATAGCAACTTTGAACCACCCTGATCATTGTTTGTATATTTTTAAATGTCGTGTTTTCTCTTTTGTATGCAATAATTGCAATTTTTACTTGGTGTGTACTAGAGATGCGCTACTAATATAGTAAACAATATTCCTTATTAGTACCTCGTGCAACCAATACTCTCAGCTCACGGCCGGAGTCTTTTTTATTAAGGCTGTTTTTTGGTTATTAGAGAGATGAACAATGCGACTTACTTTGATTTGTGTAACAGTTTTAAGTTGTAACCAAATTTCATTTGTATCTTCAATATATTCAACTTTAATTCATGCATTGGAGAACAATGTGTAATCGTTCTGCATCAATAATTTGTACTTAAGTTTTTAAAATACTCAACGTAAATTTTGCATATTAGTGTGCATAATGTGTGCATAATTTGACACGTATTGGTTTTAAATGCATGGTCAGATTTCATTCAAACTTGGAAATGACGTATTCCACAGTGAACCTCTGCATGTCAGTTTGTTCCGGGATTTGACTGGCAATGTTTGTTTGCTATAGTTCAAATAAGTCTGACATTGTGAAATTCTTTCGTTTTTTTTTGGAAGAGGAAAACTGATTTTGACAAGATATTTCAGAAATTTATATTAAAAATAACTGTATAGATTTTATTCAAACACATTTTGTGGTTTGATTTGAATGAATAATTAGTGTTGATTATTTGTGTTCACATATTGCTTAAAACATTTAATCGTTATGTCAGTGTATTAATATTATAATAAATTTATAATATAACATGTAAATGTAACACAAATATCTAGAAGATCATCATTCCTAACTACTTACTATTTTGAATTGTTTTTGAGTTTGAATTGTACTGTACTAGTCTAGAAGAATTAATGAAATAGACTAAACTAGTTGAATATTATTACTGAATTTATTATTGTTTTAACATATATTTTAGTGTGTTACCAAACCTTTTATCTGAATTTTACCAGAATCCTCTTAACTAATTCACCAGTAAGGTAAAAGGTAAAATCTACTTACATAAATAATATAATTGCATACAGTTAAATGTTAGTTTCCTTCATTGAAGTTACAAATTATCTGTTAATTTCAAAAATATAAATTGTAGAGAGCATTGTTCACTCTCCACTCAGACAATATTAACCTCTTATTGATCCCCAAGCATAATCATAACCTGAATGGTTCGTAATGAATGTGTATAGTTATTAAAATAAATAGGATGTTTTTTGTTGTTCGAGATTCAGCTTGTGTATTTCTATCTAGTAATTGTGGGGGCGTTTTAAGTACGTCGTTTGTGCGAGTTTGAATCTCGTGTTGTCTGCTATGTCAATGTTCGTTTGCTTGTAATGATATTCATAATATACATAAACTTACATTGGCCAGTTGAACAAACCTTCACTTAGCGCATACAGCAATGTATATGTACTTAAAGGGCGGCAGCCGTCGCGCCGCGTCCTGTTCGATATGGCACTCAAAGCGACGTATACAACGCGTGAAATTCGAACACTCGCTGCGTGACGACCACCGCGCTTTAAAGAAGTATATTCTCAATGCAGTGTGCATTAAAATTTCATGTAATCAAATAAACAAATTTCACACGTGTCTAGCACGGGACGCCGAATGAGTTGTGGCGCGACGATTGTCTAAGCACGGTTACTAAAAAAAGTAGTAACCGTGGTCTAGGCAAGGACATTTTCTCCAGATTACATGACGTAATGCTAGGTTGTTTGCTCTACATGTAGCACTGCCATATGTATTTGAGTCGTAGTACATGGTTAATGAAAACAATACGATCAAGTTGAAAACTTTCAGATGTATTTCACTTGGTCAATAGAAACTTCCTGTTTCCGTTTTAAATTTGAAGTTTATGAATGATCATAAAGATGAAAGGAACGATTTGGATGTGCTGAAAGTATGGTCAGCTAAATATTTGCAATTATATAATAATTTCTAAATTACTCTCGTTTAATTCCTTCGGAATTAAATTACCCGGCACCAAATTAAAAGACACAAATTTGCGCCTAAGTGGACAGGTGACTTGAACGTCAACGTAACGTGCAAGTGAAAATTGTTGTTGTACTGATTGAAAACATATCAACGTAAATATCATTCAAATAACAATGAACAAATTAGAGTGACGTTTTAACGATCAACAATTTCACTTGAAGAAAACTGGCGTGAAATTATCAGACCATTTTTTTTAAATTTCACTGACATCCCAACAGACTTACCATCAGTATAAGCGCCCTCACATTACTGGCAAGATTCGGGCTTATGATGATTGACATTTCTAATATGTTTCAACGAATCAGAACACAGGCTATTATGAGTTTAAAGAAAACCAAGATACTATAGTTGTAATTGTCTCGCCATTAATGAAATGAAAGAACAGGTCCAGAAAATGAACATTAGATAAGTAAAAATAGGCACGTGCGATGTCCGGTTTTTCGTGTTCACCCCTCGTTTACGCAATTTATATTTATTTTTCAAGAATTTTTCATCAGAATCGCAACATGCAACAGACTGCAAGCAAGTCTAAGCGCGCCACTGTTATGACGTTAATGCATGAATAACACAAGGGGCTGTATTGACTGATCACATGAAAGATATCCTTCATATATAATTGCAGACCTGAGGTTAAATATCCAAAAGTCATTTAAAACGACCTATGATTCATCTTTGTCAAACTGAAGGACGAACTGTGAATGATTCATGGATACCTGTATCATTGGTCATTGTCCTGTAAGTTTCTATTTACCTATTCAACCACCAAATAAATGTAAATATCGCCCACTGATGAACTCCTCACGAATGTCGTAATGAGATACAGAATACTACGTCATTGACAGTCACCGCAGGTGTGGTTGTTGATTTCAAGCCGACCTTGCTTGTTGTTTATGCCGCTGTGTGACGCAGTCAAATCATTAATGCAATACAGGTTTTGACTATCTTTTGACACATTAAGACATAGAATGTGTGTTTTTTTTTTGTGAAATATTGCATTTCAATTCATTAGCTAAACCTCCAAGGTGTCGATATAAGGCAGAGGTCAAGTTCATGCGTACTTATACATCATCGCCAAGACTAATATTTGCTCACTACTGATGTTCTGTGTAGTTTAGTTGCAGTTCTTCATCTAAGTATAATAGTGTGAATCGTTTAATTAAGCTATATCACCTGAGCTGGGGATATGATAACTCCTGAAACGATGTCATAATTTCTCTTACAGAAAGAAACTTGATTAATGTTTTAAGTGGAATTATGTGTTTATTAATATCTTCCACCAAAACTCTGTGGCTGCCTGCTTCTATGTTATATAGAGTTCACAGGGGTCGACTAAAGTTACTCCGTTTTCTCAATAACTGCATTGTTTGCCTAGTAACACTGTGTGATTTGCCACTTTTCCTCTTTGTAATGTACGCGATAGAAAAATATATAGGGAGTCGCCTCAAACTAGTCAAAAAGTTTATGAATAACATTTTGATATAAAGAGGTAATGGCATGAGTGATCCTACAATTTATTGAACTAATGCAACAATTTCCATCTCTCCAAAACCTTGGAAATGAACATATGAAAATTGTTGCGATAGTTTAATAAATCTGATATTGCTGGGTCAAAAAGTCACAGAAACATTAGTAATTAGTAATTATGGAGTTAATTCAACCAGATGGATTTGGATGGATGTGAAATGTTCATTCTGCTTAAGTGAATCAATAAGATTAGATACAGGGATTTTTATAGCATTGTCTGGAGATATCAACAATTATTAAACTGAGTAAACTACTGGATATGGACAATATAAATATATCACTTATAAATATCGTTAAATATCATAATTATTTTTACAACATTGCCCACGTTTGTTTTACGCGTTACGTAATAAAATATTAATTACACGTCTTAAGATTCAGGGGGCAGGTGTAGGGTACGGTAAAGAAATAAAAAAATGCAGTAAGTAGTGCTTTATACTCCCCCCCCCAAACCCTAATACTAAATTTACATGTTTTGACGTCATTGTCGCCATTTTGCATTCAACGCAATCCCAAAAAATTGTCAATAATTAATTCAACAACGTAACATTATTCATGAATAGTTGATTTCGTATTTCGAAGTTTATTCATCGAGGAAAAATATTTACTAAGTTTGTCACTACGCACCAACGCCCTGTATTCACATGATTCATATCAGAATTGATATTATAATATAATATTGATTTGCCCTAGCGTTATCGCGCAATGCGCATTACATATTTGCATACTCCTGTTGCTGTTTACAATTCACATTTCACAAGGTTTTGCTTATCTCGAATTCGGCGAATGAATTAACTCATGATCACATGACACATGACACATATCGGGCATTCTCTATAAAACCTTCGCATCTGATAAACGTTTGTGATAGTGCGGCGGTCGTAAATCTGGACTTTTGTTGACCAATATATTGTTGTTAGTAACATATGAGTGCAGTTCGTCACAATCGTTCGGTACATACGTGCGGGATAAGGTGACACTTAGCAACTTCCATCGCCAACATGAGTACGAGGACGGCTATCGTGGTGACGGCTATTGTCACGGCAATCATCGTTACAGCTATCGTCGTCCCGTTAACATATTTTTTACATCCAGACTACGAATCGTCAGATTCAGACTCGTCAGAAGTAACTACAGAACTGCCGGAAAACGAACGATTTGACTGTTACCCTGAAGATGGTGTCACGAAAGATAGTTGTGAAGAAAGAGGGTGCATTTATGACGACTCCGTTGGGAACGGAGATACGGTTCCATATTGCTATTATCCGCCTGGATATGGGGCCTATAAAATGAGCGGGAGTGTGGAAGACATGGCATGGGGTTATCGCGTTACTCTGGTTCGTATGGATGTACCATCTATGTATGGAAAAGACGAACAAACTGTCATTTTAGACCTAGAATACCAGACCGACAATAGACTTCGATTTAAGGTAAGACCTTTCATAGTTTTGCGAGATTATTTGTTATGTTTATTCAATTTAAAGCGCGGTGGTCGTCGCGTCGGTCATGTTCGATATGGGACTCATAGCGACGTATACAACGCGTGTAAAATACATTGTTTATTTAGATGAAATTCGAACACGCGCTGCGCGACGAGCACCGCGCTTTAAAGTTTCTGTTCTATCACATCACAAGGTCAGGATGGCGAGACAATAAGAATAGCAAGATGTCATTTATTTGCAGGACAACTTGACCGCGTCATTATTTGTTGTTGCCATGCAACAGTAAACTGTGCTGAGGATCAGATTTTGAATTAGTGTCGAATACAGTTCCGGGCAGTGTTATGTCAGTGATTGTAGGTGTCACGACATGATATTGTGTCCAAATGTTTTATTCCGTGTCTGTCGACAGTTGGTGTCCGTTATGCAAGTCGAGGTTCGAGCTCGCGACCAACCACGGCACTTTGCGCCTTGACGTATGGTATAAGGACAATAGTACAATACTATTTATCGTACCACTGTGTGTAGTATTTCAGTTACGAGCTCACTTTGGGACCTATTTTGCATACATTTGATATTAGAATTCATATCAGCATACATTTTCAACCTGCATTAGGTGTTTATAAGATCAATATAGGGTTGTTGTTTCTTAGTTCCACATCGACACTTTAATTTTATGTGACCTTAGCGTACTTAAACTGTACAAAGCACTGCGTCAGACTCTGTGTCTGTGATATTATTTATTATCGATTTGTACTATTTATATAAAGATAATTCATCTCATTTCAGTGCGTCATATCATCCTGTATATCATGTCAGTTCCGTGTAATAAAGCGGTGTGATTATCTCTAAAGAATATGTGATTGAAATCTCGGTAATCTAGATTGATCCGAGCAAGCAGTTTCCGCTGTTGACATAATGGCCGACAATCACAAACTATGCCAACTATGCCAACTTTTCCACTTGTTTGTCGTTTTACACAATATTTCTTGAATAATTACATAAATTCGAACAGCATAGACCAGGAATACTAGGGAAGGATTCATCCGTTGAGAAAATTTACCAGACTAACTTATTTTGTTCAATTTGGTGATATGCTGATTACGACAATGCATGTTATGCAGGCGTTTACGGGTTCATTAAGTTACATTTTCAGTTTAAAGCCTCGTTTTTGTCAATTTATTGTGCAACACTTCGCGTAATTATCTCAGAGGACATGTAGAATGTTAGTGCTCGGCAAACAGTGAAATATGTTGTTTCACAAATGTATACAAGATTCTCAAATATGTGTATCTTAATATGTATATAATATATTATGTATATTGTAAAGGTTTCCAAGGGCGGAGACTGACTAAGTATAAGTAATATTTTTATTAGATATTTCAATATTTTCGGAATCAGTGTCCTCCATATTTACGAAAAAAATAGTTGGTCTTACAAATTGTCGTTACTCTTCAACTAGTCTATGGTGCATCTTTATGGCTATTTATTGTTATGTTGTACTTTGAGTTCACTCGTAAAGATAATGCCACATTTGCGTAATAATTCCAAACAGGTTAACTTGACTACGATAGGTTGCAGGTCTATGGGGCAGCTTTTTACGCAATGGACAGTTCCATTCATTACTTGTTTATTACGATATTAACTAAAAAGAACGCCTTAGAATAATTTACATAATTAAGATCTAATGAAATGACTGAGCAAATGAAATTATAGTCTCAAAATTGACCAGAAACATCTTCCATTCATTAGTTGTTCACTTTACGATAATTTGACAAAAGCGAGGCTGCACGTTGTATATCCCTGAACGCATGTATAACATATATTTCCGGTACTATCAAATTTACCAGAAAAAGTTGGTTAGGCATATTCCCTCTAATAGATGACCCCCCTCACCAAATAACAGTTCAACGAAAAAAGTGAAATCGGCGCCAAACGCACCCATAAACACCTAAATATTCGAAATCGGAACTCTCAAATCGACCGGGAAAATTGAGTCAGACATATTTTACTTATTAACCCTAAAATATATAGTAGACACACCTGTAAACGCATGTATCACGTGTATTACATACAAATGGTTTATTACCGGTCGTTTGTGTGATATTAAGACACATAAATTTCAAACCTCATTTTAATTTGTCCCAACCTCACAAAAAAATGTTTCACCAATGTTTAGTGGCAATTTTGCCGAATTTTGAAAAAAAAAACACGTTTACATCGTGACAATTGTCTTCAAAAGCAGTAATTAATATAATAAATGCATTTTTGATATTGTAAATATAATTATAGATCCAATTGTGTTAGTTGTTAACTTTTCGAGGCTGCGAAACGAATATGTATGAATAAACAGGATATTAAATTCGTGGCCATACAAAATCAGATTGATTAACCCCGTGGAATAATTTTCTCATTTGTTTCTCTCCAAAAAATCGGAATAAATTAAAATAACTATCCATAAAATATCCTTTATATACTAAATAGTACACCCTTTACACACAATTATTGAATTTGATAATTTATTATTGTGCTTTGAATCCGTGGTGAATGATGAACCAAACAAGTTCAGAAACAGTTTTTGTTCAATTTAAAATATTTTAATTTGGTCTTTTTTCGTATATTCAATGTCAAATAAATTGTTTTATTTGGTATCCCACCATGGTAAATTATTATTCAACCATGATAAATGACGGCCAATGGTATCAGGGTTCTGATGATTTAACTACATGTAGTATTTTCTTAGTTTTAACCATTTCTCAGACTCGATTTTAAGGTTTAAACACATTATACCGAATGCACCATTTTTAGTTAATTTGCGTAAACTTTACGATTACATAAAATTGATAATGATATTCGGGGTTATATTTTTCGTTTATTGAAGTGCGCCACCGTGCGGTCGCTGACAATTTGATCTTGTTTTTTTTTTTCAATTTCTCGGCGAAGCATGTTACAGTGCCCTAAACACGTGTCAACATAATCTATGAATTCCTGACATTTTGTTCACCGTTTTTTGTGTAGTTATCAGGATAATTTGCATAACAGTATGAATATGTTTCAAATTTCTAGGTAGAGGGGGTTTGTTGAGTTGGTGAAACGCATTAACGGTAACGAAATCCCCTTACTTGCAGCAACGTTACAAAAAATAATGGCAGCGTTCGCGCGATTTTATTTAAGTGAGTATATTCAAAGCTTGCTTTCTAAACTAACATACAGTTTTAAATTAGTATATCTGTAAGGGAGGGAATATTTTTATGCATATTTTCGGGTAAATTCGATTAACATGATGTATCGTTGTAGATTGTACAAATGTAAATATACAATGTTTACTAAGCATAGAAAAACATAGCAGGCAATAAATGTACAAGAACACAGCAAAACTATAAATATCATATAATACATTGACAGAAGTGTGAGGTGTAAAGAAAGTGTTGTATTCAGATATATGTTTGTATTTCGTTGGGGTGTTCGTGCAGTTTATGCATTCTTTACTTGCTGTTTACGTGACTTTATAAAGATAGAACAACGATAGAACAACTCCAATGTTCACCAGTATTTTCAATCTTTAACTTAAACCATATGACCTGTATTAGCCAATCGGATTATGCACCCTCGATCACGCGATCTATGCAGCTCAGATCTCCAAGATGCAGGTTTTACCAGCGGTTGTCGTCACTGCTTTGAGCACGGCTATTATTGTCACCACTATTGTCGTTCCAATCACCTACTATACTTCCCAGACCTCAGAGGACGCGGGCGTTAGTGGTTCTAATGCAATAGTTAACTATGTTCCGATAAATGAAAGAGTTGACTGTCACCCAGATGACGGTGCCAACGAAGCGTCGTGTACTGCCCGGGGCTGCGTGTGGGACGACACGGTTGGCAGCAACGGTCCTCCATATTGCTACTACCCCGCAGATTACGGGGCATATAGAATGGTGGGACCTGTGGTAAACATGACCTGGGGTCACCGTGTTCGACTACAGCGTATGGATCAACCAACGATGTTTGGCAAGGATATCATGGAATTAATATTAGATTTAGAATATCAAACTGATAACAGATTACACTTTAAGGTAGAATGTTACCAACCCCATTGTTATATGTTAAGTTATTGTAGTCTCTCTTTACATGATTCGTTATCATGGCGGTCATCATTATTATCTCTATGTAAAGACCATGAAACCAATGTCCAATATGTGGCTGACTGATATATACGTTTACAATAGATTTTTTTTAAGATAGATAATACTGCATAAAAGACGTGGTTGTAATCGCGCGTCTTGCTAATAGAAAACAATGTTTCTTTTAAAAAGTTCATCATAAGAAATTAACTTCTTTTCGGGACTGCCTGATTGCTCGAGTAAATATGGACGGTTTGCAACAGAGAAACTACGGATTCACAAGTAAACCGGACAGTTAGCAATCAAAGTAACTGACCGATTTTTGATACTCGTTCCGTCATTTTACTCACAACCGTTTCTGCTGTTGATGGTTCCCAAATTTAATTTGTCACGTGTTCCGAGAAGAGTGCTCCAATCTTATTACATGGGTCATATTATATAGTGCATAGTAATACTGATGTCAACTTGAAAATTACACTGTATTTGTTTAGTTTTACAGTTATTGAATCTAATGTCATTTCTCAATAGTGGGAATACATTATAGTGCATACTAATATTGATCTCAATATATTGTTATGGATTACTTTTAACCATGGTCCGTTTTCCCACCCTTCAGTATTACAGTCAGTTAAATCCAAGATTTGAAGTGCCGCTGGAAATGCCTGCAGCTACCGTCAAGACAAGTAACCCTAAGTATGACGTACAATTTGTGGCAGAACCGTTTTCAATGGCCATAGTACGAGTAGATACCGGTGTTACACTGTGAGTATACGCACCGTATCCGAATATTATCGCACTGCGAGCAGCGGAAAATTATACCATAGGTTGGTAGGGTTGAGTTAGAAATATAAACAGACAGTCTGACAGAAAAATTGTTATTGCCATAAAATGAGACACGTTCAATCAACAAAATTTCAGAATAACTATTACCCGTCTGTATGTGAAATATACTATATACGCGATTCACACAGAATGAATCCATTGAATTCGTGTATTTAATTTACCTTGTGGTGGCGCCCTTTAACGTCGACTGTGGACGCCACATTCAGAGTTTTTTTATTACTATACATGTAGTAATATGCGTTCATCATTTATATCTTTAGATGGAACACATCAGTTGGAGGGTTCACATATAGCGACCAGTTCCTTTCCCTGTCAACCCGACTACCTTCCAATTATATTTATGGATTCGGTGAGCACGAACACCAGTCATTTCACCACGACTTGAACTGGTTGACATGGGGAATGTTTTCAAGAGATCAACCACCAGCGGTGAGTATTTATGTACCTATACCAGTGTTTGCTACCAGGCGACGAGCGTTATAATTAACACATTGTAGCCCTTTTTCGCAAATGGCCGCCGAGAAGTCATTGAGAGCGAGAAAGTCACTTGTTGTTGGCACCCAAATCGTACCCCATTGTCTACCGCCATCGCGTCTTTTGCTCTAAATACCACATGGTAAGAAGAATAGTGTGCAATATTGGTGGAGAAGTGAACACTATTTAGGGGACAGAAACAATTCTCGTAGCTTTCACGCTTTCAACGAGATCTTGGCGGTCATTTGTAAATATGGTCTATTAAGTTGTTGTTTCCCAATATGTCTCCATCCACAGACGTGTCAAATGGGGGAGAGGAAGCTATTTTTGCAATAATTCTCTTCTGTTACGTTTACAGAAATACTGCTAAACAGTGCATTTATAAACTCAAACCAAATTAAATCCTTGTTTATATTATATTGATTAATCAGTCTCAGAATGAAAATGGTCGCCGAGTATATAATAAGAAGTGCAATTGTCCAAATGTTGAGCGAAATATCTAGAGCACATTATTTCTAGTACTGTAAATTTATTTTCACTGGACTTTAATTTTACTATTGTGATGCTTTGGGCAATTTCACTGGACATTAGGTTCACGATGTGGCAGGGGAAACTTGTTATTTTATATGCTCACGGGGATTTAATTTAGCGGATTTTACTTTTAGGCAAAAATAGCAAAATTAAAATCCAGCGAATAAATGTTTTCACAGTAATTTTCAGCTTGACATTTTCTAGAAATTTGTGAAAACTCACAAATGTCTCCCGGGCCTTTTATTCCTTTACAAAATGACCACCAGAGCAAATAGTTCGTACTACGCTTGCTTGTCTCAATAATACAATGACGCCCCATCACTGTTACATGAAGGTAAAAGTAAAGTAAAATGTCGTGTTTTTATTAATTTCAGTATCTAGGCAACCTGTACGGAGTTCACCCCTTCTATATGTCATTAGAAGAAGACCACAACGCCCACGGTGTATTTCTACTAAACAGCAATGCTATGGGTAATGTATTCCTTTAAATGAGAAACTCGATATCCTTGTTACCATGGTAACGCAATATTTTTGTATTGCATATAATATTTTTGTATACATTCTAATCATTAAATTGTGTACGTCGTGTTCTTACTGGCATACTCTTTTTCACGTCTAGACATAACAGTCCAACCCTTACCAGCGCTGACATACAGAACGATTGGCGGCGTCCTGGACTTCTGGATGTTTCTCGGACCCACAGTTGGAGACGTAGTTTCGCAATATACCGAGGTAAGGTTTACTGACTAATGTGTCAAATTTATTTGTGGTGAACGGTAATATACTAGTATAGTAAGGATCTTTCTAGATGCTTCCAACTCCGGGCGTGCGTTGCTGTACGTACGTTGAACCCACGTGCACCGGTGATGTTATTCACATGTCACGGGATGATGAACATCACTCAAATCACAGAGTGATCATTTTGAGTTACTGAGAACTCGCAACCCCACGACTTTTCTACGTATTCTTACTACTTATACTTATTTGTATTAGGCAATTGGTCGACCATACATGCCGCCGTATTGGTCATTGGGTTTCCAGCTGAGTCGCTATGGTTACAACAGTCTGGATAGAGTTAAAGAAGTAGTAGCAGGAATGAGATATTATGATATCCCACATGTAAGTATCGAATGACGTCATACATGGATATTGCGTCACCTATTCGAACCTATTCGTTCTGTGATACCAATCATTGGCTTCATGGCTGTAATTTAATTGAGAAAAGTTTGTAATTAACACCCATCTACTCCCAATATTAGGACGTCCAATACGGGGACATCGACTACATGGAGAGACAATTAGATTTCACCTATGACTTAGAAACATATGATGGTTTACCGGAATTCGTTGACGCATTGAAGCTAACTGGTACCCGTTATATCACGATTCTAGTAAGTACCGAGTTAGATTTTACATTAGATTTATCAAAATGAAACTAAAACCATGTGCATTGGACACGATATTGTGAAATGAGCGAATGACATATGCACATAGCATATGTCACATGTCACATGTCTCGATATTAGCGTTTGTCACGAATATAAGGTTTTAGCAAAATAAATATAACGTAATAATAGAACGGTTCAAATGCATGCAGGCGTCGCGCGCCGTGTATTTTGAACAGCATATTCGAACGCAGGGTCCGTCAAGTCCCGGTTTAGTGGCTCGTGACCAGAACAGAATTCAACAGAAATGTGCCGCCATAGAGTTTTGCAATTTAACTGCTGCATTTATTTATAAGGTATCCTCGGGGGCGGAGCTACGTCACGAACGTTCTACGTTGCTAAGACGCGCACCACTGTACCATGTATTTCTATGGGCTCTGTGTGCGCTGCTGTGGAACGACGGTGGAGCCGGTGAACTTTGCAGTAATCCCGAACAACCAAATTCATATATGTTACACACGTAGGGCTAATCTTGTTACACTGTTCAGGGGACTCTCAACAACCATCGCAAAGTACCGTTTTCTGCGAGTTTTTGGTCTTTGTTTTCACCGCGAGGGTTGCCAGGCGGTAGAAAATGCCCGGATGTCCGCCCCCGAGGATTCTAACACATTAAGCAAATATTTCATATTTTTTCTCAGTTCTGTGCGTAATATTTTGTATATGCCAACTAGCTTCCATGTACTAATGTTTATGTGCCGGTGAACTGCCGGCTTACGCTGAGAAATCTCCGTCGACATACAAAAATTATCCAAACGATGAAACATCGTAAATATATGAATAGTTTTATACTTTTTTTAAAGTATATTTTTTGTATACCACACGTGTGGTACAACATTGTCGATTTGTTGATAATAGCTGTAAACATGGCCGTGTAAACTCCGGTACCAGATCACTCAAATGTGCTGAATCAGTAAGAGAAATTTGTGAAATGCTTATCACCTCAGTGCGAAGTCACCTCGGTGATAACGTGTCTACGTATACGACAATTCTCAATATTTATTCACGGTAAACATACAAATTTGTCAAGTGTTCATGTCAGGTAATCTAATCTGTTCTAAAACGTAATGTGGACATTACCCCGGGCATTTGAGTTATTGTAGTATGCCACCATTATCAGCAGAACGGGGTAGGTAAATAGTCAGCAAAATTCGGTCAGCAAAATTTTTTGGGTCAGCAGATTTTCGCTCACAAAAATCAAGTAAGGACTTTTTGTCGTAAATGGTGGGCATAATTTTCTCTTGAAACAGATAAGCGTCTATATATTGAACCAAATAAAGATGAGTATTAGAGTGACACTAAAATACGTATAGAGATATGTATATTGAAGAAAAAAAACCCCACAAATTTCTGGTTACATGTGTACGTGAAAAGAGTGGCCCTTAATTTCAAATGTCCACCCTTAATCTGTTTCAAGAAAACTTTTTGCCAATTGATGACGACAAGGATCTCCTTGGTGAGCAAAATATTACTATTATTATCATTACTAATATTATTATTATTTTCTCACCTAATTTGGCTAACCATATTTTCTCACTATTTTTCTTACTTTCAGCAGCACACACTACTAAATAATAATGTAGCGACACTGTTTTTCTTATTTTTTTTTTTTTTTATTTTTATTTTTTTTTTAGGATTAATTAATACTAAAACAGAAAAATATAAGTTCAACATTTAACATTTATTAAATAATACTTTAGAAAACATGCATTAAAGCTTGTTTGGGTCAACAAAACTTTTGGCGAAAAAAAACCGCGAGGCGCAGGTTTCAAACTGACGAAAAGCAAAACTTGTTTGTTTTTGTTTTGTTTTGCCTAAGTGGTTGATATGGCGTAGGCACTATTTTCTATTTTGTGGCTACATTGAAGTTCTTTCGTTTATACATTTTGAATACCACTTTATATAACGATTGCACCTGGCTAATAACGCATCTATGCCACGTAATACATTTGACATTCACACACGATGAGGGCGGTGTCCAGTGTATCGTTTATTTACTTCAGGATCCTGCTATCAGTGTCAATGAAACCGTAGGTACATACCCAGCGTACGACAATGGAACAGCTATTGGCGTATTTATCACAGAGTCGGATGGAAAGACGGAACTATTGGGCAAGGTAAGACAGTAGTTTAAGTTACATTATAGGTACGACCATGAGGGCGCTGTTCATACTCGGATGCGATGACGTAATACGGGGTGGGATGACGTCACAATGGGAGGCTGTGCATAGCTTAGCATAAATAATGACGTCACAATGGGAATTCGTGCATAAATTAGCATAAATGAGGACCAATGCCGTAAAGGGGATAATTTGAATGAGGATGACGTCACAATGGGATATTTTAATACATTTGCATAAATTACCATCAATTTTTTTAATTATTTTGTTTAATTATTTTTAATTATTTTTAATTATTTTTAATTGTTTTTTAATTGGACAGGCGTGGACGAAAGATTTTTCATGAGGATGACGTCACAATGGGATATTGTGAATACATTTGCATACATAAAATTGATGTGAATACGAGGTCGTGTCGAGGTCATCGTGAATACATTTGCATAAATTACCATCATTTTTTTTTAATTATTTTTT